GCCGCTGCCGCCTTGTCTCCCAAGCTTGTCTCCCTTCATGATTTCGCCTTTGGCTGCCGCTGCTGCCTTGTTTGTGAAGCTTGTCCCCCTTCATGATTTCGCTCTTGGCTGCCGCTGCCGCCTGTGAAGCTTGTCTCCCTTCATGATTTCGCTCTTGGCTGCCTCTGCCGACTTGTCTTCCAAGCTTGTCTCCCTTCATGATTTCGCTCTTGGCTGCCGCTGCCGCCTTGTCTCCCAAGCTTGTCTCCCTTCATGATTTTTTTTCTTGTTTTTACATGTTTTAGGTTAGGTGCGTGTGTGCGTTTGCGAGCTTGGGTGCTATTGCGGCTGCAGGGTCCCGCTGCCCTGTGCGCTTGGGAGCTTTTGTGCAGGGTGCTGCTGCTGTGTGCGCTTGGGAGTGCTGGCGCCGTTGCTGCTGGTGCTGCCGGAAAGGTCATTTTCCTATCTGGAGTCTATGCTGGTGCAATTCCCTAGATAGCGTGAGCTATTGGGTTCCTATTTCAAGTATAGGAAGAGCTGCGTGAGCTTGGGTGCCGCTGCGGGGTGCGCGCTTGGGGCCGCTGCTGTGCGCTGGCGCCGTTGCTGCTGCGGCCGGAAAAGTCTTTTTGCTATCTGGGGTCTATGCTGGCGTAATTTTGTTATATAGATTCTTTGATTGCAAGTAGCATTGCCTTCCCCATACAACTTAAAAAAACCACTTCACTGCTGGGGACTGGCCCTTAGCAATGTTTGGGGCAACGTGAATGAGGCTCTTGAGACAACTCATCGCATATATAATTCTATAAGGAAGTGGGAGATGGCCAGGTCCCAGCATTTGTCATCCTGGTCCTTTTCACGAGAGGTAGCTTCAGCTACCTGAGTTCTCCTTGCTTTAGCACAAATGTATTATAGTGGGAGGCCAGGATCGTGCAATGAATCACAGGCTCTAGGTAAGGATTCTTCATCATTAGGAGCCCCTTAGATCGCATCCCCCTCGTCCTCATGCATTTTCTGCATCTCATCTCATCAAGAATCATTGTATGCTTTGAGACCTCAGTCCGCTCTTGCTTACTTGGTAGCTACCTTTCATTTATCTCTTCCTCTCTCAAGTTAGAAAGACTTCCTCTTTGGTCACCTTCGGGAAAGGCAGCAGAAGTTTGACGACGCGCTGGGAGCACCACGGACATGTGAACTTGGTGGCCGCAAACAGATCAGACTTGTTGAGAAGAGAGTGCCACGAGGCAATCTCTAACCCTCGTGCTAAAGAATTTTATATCAGATCTATATTGAGAATGATGAAACTAAAGAACACGGCTGAGTTCAGTGATTCAGAATGGAAATCAAATCAACAGCTTTGCATGAGAAAAGGCACTGGATTGATCTTCAAATCATTTGGCATACGTATGTGCTTGTGTTTTGTTTGCAAGTTCTGCTTGTGTATCATAGGCCCACCCATTGGTTTCACCTGCCAGGCTCTGCAGAAAGCTCTTCTGGGCAGCAATGTTGAGAAGGCAGCATTTTTGCAGTAGCCCACCTGGTCAGCTCGTTTGCTATGAAGGGCCAAATATCTCTCTAGATCCTCAATACCTGCATCGCATCACTAGGATCAAGCAGTCCTTGAGCATTTATTTGGAGCCTCCACGACGCAGCTAGATTTTGGAGTCTAATGGTCCTTTCCTTTTATATAGATAAAGACACTCTAATCTTCAAGAAGACTCAAATTCACCACGTTACCTTGCCAGCTGGGGCATCACCAGAACTTTGAGACCATTCTTGACGATTTAAAGTAACTTTAACGCATTTCCACAGTTACATAACTATGTGAAGAGTGGCCAGATTGAGAGGCAACAGCCGATGTGTTTTGCCAACCTGAAGGCCAACATTTGTTACGCCCAGTCTCAGATCTATGCTGCAATGGGTGGCAGCAAAGGCGAGGCTAGATGTGGATGGACTCTTTTTGCACGTTCAAAATGAAGATATTTTTTTCACCTGCTGGACACGAGGCCTTGGCAGTGCCATTGAGTCGTTGAAAGAAGCAAGGAAGTTCATGGCAGATGCCAAGAACCAGGAAGTTCGTTACATTGGCCGGGGGATGTTGTAAGTTGTGTGTAACCCAAAGTTGGGGTGTCCCCGCATTTCAGATGTGGTATCTAGTTTGTTTGGGGTCAGCGGTCCCCCTGCATGCCACTCTGTTGAATCGGTTGACCTTTCGACTTTGTTCTTCAATTTGGAAAAAGCTCTCGGCCACATGGCCTTGGAGCATTGGGGAAGCACTTCAACAATGAACTGCCCAGGCAACGACGATCCCAGCTGCTAGATACTCGACTCAAATGTTACTGTAGGATGATTTCGGCATCCTTGGCGTCCAAGTACAGGTGTACAAAAATGATGGGACACTTGCAGATTTGAGTCGCAAACCCCGCGGCCATTCTCTTGCTTTCAACAAGTCTGACTAATTTGGTGGCGAGACAGGACGGCGAGCTCGAATGCTTGCAGATCATCAGTGAGTTGCAGTTGAGCTCGCAAAAGGCTGATCAGCCGGTTGGTGACGTCCTGCTTATGGCACAGCGAAACAGTGGAACTTAAATGTTCTGTTGGTGCGTTTATAGGGCGCTCTGAAGCTTGCAGCTGACCTGCAGCTCGGCCATCCTTATGACTCAGGGCGACCTTGCCGTGGCCACTGGACAAGAAGCCTTGGCCGTGACGCAGGTGCAGCAAAAAGCTTCCCGAATGTCGAATGCCACTGTCTTGATGTGTTTGTTTCCAGCTTATGTATGGAATCAGCTCCATGTTGCTCCTCCGCTAGCTACCATCATGGTTCATATGTTCAATTTGCCTTTCTGCAATTCCGCTTCGCCACCTTCACTAGAAGAACATCTACTTTGATGTTGGTCCAATTAACTATATACTGGTTTTCTTCAAGACTCCTCCGAACTCCTCCCTCATTATTTTTACCCTTTGATCTCTTCGCAAAGGCTCTTATACTCTTCGCTCTTCAATGCTCACTGGCATTGGCTTGCTTCTTTTGTATCGCATCCTGTCGCTGAGGGCTCACTTCCTCTCCCCTTCTCGTCATCCTCCCTTCTCCGAGACCTGCTTGGGGCAACCTGGATCCCAACGTTCTTGCATCAAATAATGGAGGAACATGGAATCAAAAGTCCGTGTCTCGTCAGCTCGAACATCGGACAAAAGCGAACCAGCCGAACCATTTCCGGCATGAACTAAGACATACATTCAACATCATTCAGCTGCCAAGTCGCAGAGTCTCTGAGTTACCCACTGCTTTAGGGCGGTCTTGGCGTTGGACCTCTGGCTCACCTCTCTCGGTCAGAGACCCCGGTCTAAATTGTGGCTGAGGCGCTCTTGACCTGCGCAGGTGTCGAGCAGGCCACAAGATGGTCCAATAGAAACATGAGTCATCATGAGTCATGAGCCAGCCCCGACAACCTGCGGAATAAAGGCTTGCGTACGCTGGATTCACGGCATCAGCGTGTGGAGATGGCCCGAGCATGAAAAAAAGAGCAAAACCGGCAAAACGATGGTTACAAGCCTAAGAACCAAGGACCCTCGAAGGTGAAGGTTTTCAGGGTCCAAACACGTCCAAGCCCTGCTATGCAGGGTCAAAACCCTCCATAGGAGGGCACAATGATGGCTAGGGAAGTGAGTTTGTGAGTCTGAACCTTTAGTCAAACTTTAGTCGATCACAATCTCTCAGACGAACGCAAAGAGCTCCATATGCAACGGTGAGGGCAAGGAGGCATGGTGTTCAACTTATCTAGGAACCAAATGAATAGTGCGAGGTAGTAGCGGCTAGGCTCCTGGGCAACGGGGGCTTAACGAAAAGAATTAGCATATATAGAATTCTTTCTTTTCTCATTTGCACCCCTCGAGCAAGGCTGCACTGGCTTCTTTCTTGCATGCCCCATGCCTTTGCTCACCCATGATTTGGAACAGACAGTGCCACAGGACATATGTTTTGGCCGTCATGTGCAGCACAAATTGGGGACTGGGGACCTTCAGACTCGTCATGTGCAAATCTTGCATTCAGAGCAGTGATACCTGAAGGATTCAGCAAAGGCATTTGAGTCAAACTGTGACAGTGCTTTTGAATTTGCATTTTGAACAACTTTTCAGCTGCAACTGGGGCTCATCGCCAGGCCAGCGGGAACAAATCGAAAGAGGCGCACCCCGGGGCCAGCGGGTCGGGATGTGTACGCGAGCGTACAACAAACGGGGATTTGCTTGCAATGACTTGTTCCAGTCTGTTGGTTTGACGTTCTGGTCACCATTTGTTTGTATGCCTGAGTTCAGCCAAGTGGGGTTGCTCTTGGAGTTGGGCAACGTTTGATGGCGGTTGTGTGAACCTCCGCCACGGTGCTTTGCTTGGCTGTGTCTTTTCTTTCTTTTGACCCCGCCCGCCCTCTCCTTTTTTTGAAGGGGGTGCTTATTCGTTGCGACCTTTTAGGTAAGTTTGGGGGTTGGGTTTCTCCTTTTACTACCCTTGCACGGCTGGCTTGCTGTGCTGGTCCGGGTCGCATTTCTCCCCACTCCAGGTTTGCGAGAGTTAAAAAGTGGCGTGTCTGGTGTGCAGGGGGCAATGTGCTGCTAATGTGAGTCTTACTTCCGGTTGGGTTTGGTGCTTCACCCTTCTTAACAATTGCTAGGCACATCTCCAAAAAGATTTGTTTGAAGCGCCTAAAAAAGGACTGTAATGTGAGTTTGCCAGACATGCTCCTTTTCGCAAACTGCTAAACGGTTCAAATCCAAGTAGCTTTGGCCGAAGCCAGCGTCTTACTTCCGAAGATTGAACACTCTATTTCTCCATAGTCTTGCTCAGTGGAGGTCTGACACAGTGTTTGCCGACTTTTGTCGCCTTGGTTGGAGTTCTCGTTATGTGGAATGGTCAGTTGTGTTTCATATGTTTGTCAAGCATTTTCTCAGGCAGCGGCCTTGCTGCGGCTGGTCTCTGCCAGTTTGTCATCTCAGAATGAAGGTGAAGCATTGAAGTATGCAGAGATGGCCGAGATGAAGGTGGGTGGGCCGGTGGCACAACAGTGGCTGGTGGACGACCTGAAACCTTTCATTGCCTCTCTACAAGTGCAAAACTCAATGCATTCTGGAGTGGTTTAACAATAGCGGTTTTTTATAGAATGTTTCAGATTAGTTAAATGGTGCAAACCACATTCATTGCATTAGATGGGGATTCATTTGTTCACCTTAAATGGATACCGGGGCCCCCGGCCGCCTTTGGTGCCATTTTGCTCCCTCCTCTTCTCCTATCTCCACGGCCCACAGCTGTCAAGATCTGCAAAAGCCACCCGAGGGTTTTGATCGCCAATGGGGCCTCAGAATCACAGTTTGCAGGGAGGCGATTCTTTGGCGTGCAAACTGCTTTGCCAAGTACTCGTGCCCTCTAAGTTCCTTAAAGTGCAATGGCTGTCAAATTTTATGCATTGTCAAAGCCTTTGCAGTGCTTCTTTATGTGCCAGGCAAAGGAGGCGGATGACATTGAAAAGGAGGCCCAAGCAACCTACAACGTCGCAGAGATTCTCTTGCGCAGGCCTTTTCACAGCTGTGCTGTTTGCCTTGTTTGTTTTTGGGAAGAGAAGAACTATATAGTAAAGAGTAAGATGCTCCTAGAATATTCTAGAATCAGAAGCTTAAACGCGGGCAAATCCAGTTTTCTTCGGCGTCGCACCAGGGGGGATAAGTCTGGAGCAATCAAAAGGTCCAAGGAGCAGCTCGCTCGGTGCGTTGAAAGGACGGGTGAGAGCATGGTGGTGAATAGCGCTGCTTGTGTTTGTTTTTATACAAGATACTGTACTTGTAGATAATGGTAGATTATGAATGTAAAGTCTACTACATTCTTCTTGTTCTTCATTCTTCTTCTCATTCCCCACTAGCCATGCTATGGGGTCTTGCAAAACTAATAGGCGGACGGGCGCTGTCGGGTCACCGTCAGAGCTGGTGGGCGGATGGCGTCCCGGTCATATTGCGCTGGTGTCCCGGTCATATTTTGATGGTGTCCCGGTCATGTTGTGACGGTGCCCCGGTCATGTTGTGACGGTGTCCCGGTCATGTTTTGATGGTGTCCCGGTCATGTCCCGATCTTGTTGTGATGGTGTCCCGGTCATGTTGTGACGGTGTCCCGGTCATGTTTTGATGATGTCCCAGTCATGTTGTGATGGTGTCCCGGTCATGTTTTGATGGTGTCCCAAACATGTTTTGACGGTGCCCCGGTCATGTTCCCGGTCATGTTTTGATTGTGTCCCAGTCATGTTGTGATGGTGTCCCCGGTCATGTTGTGATGGTGTCCCGGTCATCTTGTGATGGTATCCCGAACATGTTGTGATGGTGTCCCAGTCATGTTGTGACGGTGTCCCGTGTGTTGAAAACAGCAGCTGTTTCCAGATTTTGCTTTTTGTCCCGGTTTGTATCTTGCTATTGGGGCCTCCAGCTTGTTTCATTTTTCTTGAAGCTTCGCACCATTCCACTGCCAAGTCTTTTCACTTGCCCATTCAGCTTCATTCCCAGCATGTTTGACCATGCTCTTGGGTGCTGTGCTTTTTCGATACAGGTCCCTCTAATAAGCAAAAGCCCTCTTGAGAGAAAAATGTACCAATGAGTGCTAAACACATGAGATGCACAGTCTTTTTTGCCAAAGGGCCCTTTCTGATCTCAGCGCATTGGTACTTGGTACCCATTCTTTCCACAGTCTTCCCTGCCTGTTGCTCCCTACTTGTTGCGTGTTGGTCATTTCCCCGCATAGCGAGAGTTATTGGGGTTCTTATTTCAATTTTTGGAAGAGGCGCTTGTGTGCGCTTTGGAGCTTGGGTGCTGGGCGCTGCAGGGTGGCGCTCCAGGCGACATGTCCATGGCCGTATCTGGTGCCGCTGCAGGGTCGCAGAAAAAGACACAAATCTATATACATACATCTTTTGCTATTTGGGGTCTATGCTGGCGTAATTAAGAGTTGTTGGGATTCTTTTTGCTTCAAGTATAGGAATGGTTGCATCTGTGTTGGTGCCACTGCAGGGTGTCGCTGCCAGATGTGTATGGCCCGTGTGCGCTTCGGAGCCTGGGTGCTGGTCGGCTGCCAGATGTGCATGACGTTGCCAAATGTGCATGCCGTGCGCCTTGGAGCTTGGATGTAGTGCCGCTGGAGTGTGCCGCTGCCGCAGTGTGCGCTTTGGGGGCTGCAAGGAAATGTCTGCGCCCTGTGCGCTTTGGAGCTTGTGTGCTGGTGCTAGTGCAAGGCGCTGCTGCCGGGTTGCTGCCAGATGTCCATGGCAGCTTGAGTTTTGGAGCTTGCGCTTTGGTGTTTATGGCAGTGCACATTTGGAGCATGGGTGCTGGTGCGGCGCTGCCCGCAAATATCTTTTGCTATTTGGTGTCTATGCTGGCTTAATGTGCTTTTCAATCCGGCCACTTTGGCGAGCGCACAGGTTCTTGTCGCGTGAGGCTTTTGCCTTGATGTGCGCACTTCTCAGGCATGTTAGACTTGCTTAGCTTGAGCTTGTGTTTCCTTGAATACCTGTTTCTGTTTTGACATCAGACATCACTTTGGGCGTGACTGAGCCCTCTTGGCAGCACTGATCACACCCTGTATGTTTCTTCCTGGGACTGTCAGATGACTCACATGATGACTCAAAAAAACAGTTTTCATATATGCATCGTTGTCATTTTCTCTGCAGGCTTTTCACACGCAGCCCACACCTATTTTAGGAGACGCGTTTGGCGTGGAAGGTTGATTCACTGCGCAGAAACGTAGCGTTCCCGAATGCGTGGCGAAGGGTTCTTGTTTAACTCGGGGGATCTGGGGGTAGAGCCTTGTTCGCGACTTGTTGTCATATAGTCATAGCGTTCGCAACCCTCCGCAGTGTTGCGCTATGGCGCTTGCGTTGGGCGAAGCGTTTGGCGAGGGTTTTGGATGGAAGCGTGACATGTCAGATTCGTGTGAAATAACGAGGAAACGTGTGGAAACGTGAGAGGATGAAGTGTGGAGGATGATTTCACTGCGTAGGCGCAGCGTGTTGTGAGATCCGCAGTTTTCTGCGCGGTCAGATTGGGATTGACGTTTTGAAGGAGGTGGTTTTGGGGCGTCGGACGACTGTGACATTGGGATTTGCATTTCAGGCTGCTGCTTCGAAGCTGTGTTTTGGCGACTAGTCTCAGCTGAATTGGCGATGTTGGTGGGCGGGAGCACGCTCAGAACGTGTCGAAATCATTCCAAGCGTGTGGTGTGGCGCACATTTTGCTGAAGCTACGAAGACATGATATTGCCACTTTTCGTGGCAGGCGCAGTTTGTGCGGGTTTTTAGGCGTGGAAGTGCTATTCTCGTGGCAGGGCGGAGATGACTTTTGGAGGAAGTCTCGAACGAAATGCTCGTCTTGGAGACTTGACGCATGAAGTTTGGAGGAAGTCTCGTACGGAATGCTTGTGTTTCAGACTTGAAGTGTGAGTTTTTGGACAGTCTCGCGCAAAACGCCCGTTTCGGAGACTTGACGAGCAAATTTTGGAAGAAGTCGCGCGAAATGCTCGAGACTTTCTCACCAGAGCGTGCTTAGAGTTGCGCAAGAGTGTCCCACAACGCCCGCAAGGGTGTCCGACTGGAGTGTCCTACAAGAGTGTCCCGCAAGAGTGTCTTACAAGAGTGTCCGACAAGAGTGTTTCACAAGTATGTCCGACAAGAATGTCCTCCAAGAGTGTCCTACAAGGGTGTCCCACAAGAATGCCATACAAGAGCGCCCCGAAAGAGTGACCCACAAGAGTGTCTTACAAAGTTACAAAGAGTGTTCTGCAAGAGTGTCCCCCAAGTGTGTCCCCCCAAGAGTGTTCGACGAGAGTTTCCCGCAAGAGTGTTCGATAAGAGTGCCCCACAAGAGTGTCGGACAAGAGTGTCCCACAAAGACTCTTAATTATAAGAGTGTCCGACAAGAGTGCTCTACAAGAGTGCCCCACAAAAGTGTCCTACAAGAATGCCCCGCAAGAGTGCCCCACAAGAGTTTGCCACAGAGCCTCCCGCAAGAGTGTCGCTCAAGAGTGACCTACAATAGTCTCCTGCAAGACTGACATACAAGAGTGTCGGACAAGAGTGCCCCGCAAGAGTGTAGTGTCCAACAAGAGCGCCCTGCAAGTGTCCTGCGTGGGTGTCTCTAAGAGTGTCCTACAAGAGTGTTCCACAAGAGAGTCCTACAAGAGTGCCCCACAAGAGCGCCCTACAAGAATGTCCCACAAGAGTGTCCTACAAGAGTGTTTCGCAAGAGTGTCCCACAAGAATGCCATACAAGAGTGGCCCGAGAGAGTGATCCACAAGAGTGTCTTACAAAGAGTGTTCCGCAAGAGTGTCCTTCAAGAGTGTTCGACGAGAGTTTCCCGCAAAGTGTTCGACAAGAGTGCCCATGAGTGTCGGACAAGAGTGTCCCACAAGACTCTTAATCAAAGGAAGTTTAGAGGAACTTCCGTGTTACGAACTTTTACATTAGCTGTAATTCTAGTTAATTGTTCTACACCACTTATCAGACACCACTTATATACATCACTGATCATACACC